CACGAGAGAGATGTATCCCTCATTTCGCTTTAGGGGAAGCAGTCCATGAGTGATGGATCGTTTGATCATTTGTTCCTGATTAATTTTCTGAAATCATCCCTTAAAAACTAATAATTTTAAGATTAAAAGTGAGAATGCGTATACAAAAGTGATGGGAGTACGGAATTATGTTCAATACAAAGTGGAAAATCTGAAACCAGATGCAAAAGAGTTTACGAAAAAGGTTTCACATGTTTTCAGTTGATTGCGTGTAATGCTTTCTATTGCGATTTATTTTTCAGACGCTGAGTTCCATCAAGTTTTGAAACGAAACAATACCCCTAAAAACGCTCACAAGCAATGACAGAAATGTTTCAAACTTATGATTAGAGTAAACAGCTCTCATTCGACAAATGAAGATCAACCGAAAGTTTTCTATAATATCTTACGGTGCAATAGAAAAACTGAGATAATATTAAACTTTGGTTGCATAAATTTGAGTTTCAGTTGGGTGAGAAGTACCTATCATTGTTCGTGCAATTGCAAGGTGCTCAGAAGGGTACGTTCGGGAAATTGAAAATCTTCGTGAACGAAACATTCAAAATGTTCGACGAGTTGAGTGCCGAGGGGAAAGCGGATCTACGAAGTGCATTCACTGAAATTACGCAACTTCTTGAAAGTGAGTGCTGTTTCAAGAATTTGAAAAAAAATTTACATTTTACCTCTCAATTCAGTCTCTAATAAAAAGTAATCCAAAATTCGTTGCAACTCGTGTAATGATCCATTCTGATAACTTCGAAAGGGTAATTCAATTGTAAAGAACACGTTTCAATGAGCTGTCTTCCTGATTATTGCGTCTTTATTTCATCGATTACTTTATGCAAATTTATCAAGCCATTTCTTTACCAAACGAGCACACTTGGACATTTTCATAGCGATTCACAATAATTGGTATATTATAATAATGATTAATGTTAGTGAGGCTGAATTCAACTCATCTTTTAGATCCGCGATTCCGTAATTATCTTCGCCGAGTTTTTGAATGTAATGAAGTGAAGAGGGCGTTCAACCGAGCTGATCGAGCCTATAATCCTAAGCGAATTTCCTAGACTGCGGTCTTACGTTGTGTGATGAATAATGCGTTGTTTTGATTTGGTTTTATTTGATAGAGTGGTTTTATGAAGATGCTTTCTTTGGTTTGAATGTAAAATAAAAATCAATTTTTGTGGCATCAATTGTTTCAATTGTGCTTCGATTAATAACTTTTTCATGAACGGAACGTCGTCCTCAATAAACAGATGAAACGTACGAATAATTAGAGATGTTGAATGAAAGCAGAAATGTGAACTCGATTTGTTTTTTTAATCGCACGAAAATCTTGTGATTTTGTTCAGAATGATTGCTTTAAGAAAACAGTCTCGTAGGCAAACGCTTCGCTTATGAAAAACTTGTCGTTTCGTATGAAACAAACAAACAAATTTGTTTCTTTATTATTGAGCAAAATCGATCATCGTCGTCAGTACGGCACTGCTTATCTCGTTCATATCAATTTCAGTCGCTTTCTTCCACTGACTTTTTCAGAGTGCATTCATTTGATTAGATATGTGTACTTTTTAAAATTTTATCGCACATTCTTTTGATATTGGTCAATCACTATCATTGATGTAATTATTGAGGAACAAGAGTGCGAATGGGGGATTTTTGGCCGGTGTGAGAACATTTAGGGGAATATTTTCGTGAGGAGAAGATCACTCTTCCGAGTCCTCTCCGTTTTCTGCGAAGTGATTACCAAAGGAAACGGAAACCTTCAGAAGAAGCGAATTTTGTGATATCATTTTAAACATCGTATTAAATATTAAATGGCACAATTTACTGTCAACCTTTAACAATGAAATGAATCAAATGTCACATCCGTTTTTCGGGAGCGAGGAGTGTAATTTTTTTGAGGGAAAGAAGGCCGCTTTTCGACGTTCCCTCCCGTCTTCGTGAGGAGTACCGAAGAAAGTCACTCCGGTTTCCAACCCACTATGTTAATTGCTTATCGATTTTTCAAATGAAAATATCAAAATCTTTTCACATTCTCAACTATAAACCGTTTAGACAAGAAGTTAGATGCAAAAACTGCCTTTTGTGATCTAATCTTTGTTGCATCGGTGTAACGCAAGTTATGTGCAGCCCTAAACCATAATGCATCAAGACGATGTTCATTAATACTGACTGTGTCAACAGTTTGCTTATGATGCTTTCTTGCTTCAGTCTGGATGACCATGTGCTCGTATCATTGCTTTGCTACTATCAGTTGGTTTTTGACCACATCATTTTCTCCGTGTACGTGCGATGCTACTTGTGTACAATATCGGCTGAAAATTTGAATCTTTGGGGCAAAAGATTCTTTTGTTTTGTTTGCCACTATGTTTCCACCAATAACGTCGCATCAGTATGGGCATCTGTTGTCCAAATATGATAATAACCTTGGTCAGTGGTGAAAAAATAATTCCTGACTGTGGGTTTGCTTTCGAGAAAATATGCCTCGCAGGAGAGTCGCGGAACATAACTGCTTCACTGGAATTTCGTGGACGTTTTGATCATCATAATGGAACAGCTTCGAAAAAGATGTGGCAGTATTACTTTGCAATCGAGCCGATATTTAAAGTTGAGATGAATGGTGATGAATAATAGATTAACTCTTGCAATGGATGAATATGCTATCAGTGCTTAAATACGTGGATTCAAATTTTATCGCTTTCAATTGTTTTTTGTTCAACGAATGACCCAAAAAAAAAATTCGAAGGTTTATATGGCTCTTAAGGGTTTATGAAAATTTCGTAGTTCCTGACTCACGCAAACCAGTCACTTTTGTTCAAAATGAAATGGTTGGGGTAGGAGAATTGGATTCAACTGCTTTTTCGATTGCTTGAACCATTTGAATTCCAAATGGAACTTCGGATCAGTTGATATGTAACCATAGCTTTCTTAATATCTGTATTATGGGCAATTCATTGACATAAAAATTCATTTGAGTCATCTCTTCTTGTAACTCATTTGTAGAAATCGTTGGATATAGTGAGCTTACTATTAGAGAAAATTGAAAATTCTTCAGTGCTCAATGCAGGAATCATATTGCTAAATCACAAAGAACGCTCAAAAATCGAAGAACATCAACAGGAATGAAATGTTTTTGTGTGCGAATGAAGAGGTGTACATGATGTTGATAATATGTGGCATACGCAAACGAGTTTACGTGTGGAAGGAAGACATTACACACCTGCGATCGCTCATCGTGATTACGAATTGTTCATGAACAAAACAAAAACTATTATCAGTCGAATACGAGCAAATAGCAAAATTTTGGTGAAGCATTATCGACTAATAAACTGAAAACCAGAGATTGTTCGGATTGTAAGCGGTCGGTTTGCCGATCGCTCTGGGTAACGGGCAATAGGCCTGCCCGCCTAGCCAGCGGGGTGGCGTCATCTGTGGCTAAAACAATGCGAAACTGAAAACCAAGCAAAGCAGAAATCATAATCGCAATTAAGTGTACTTTTAATCAGCAATCAATACACGAAGCTTTTTTAGTTTGCTGCCCTTTTCATTTCACTTCAATTCAACATTTCATTTTTTACTTCAGGTAAAATTTAACGTATGTGGTGCGTGCGTTATTACAACATTAGAATGATACTGAGGAAGTTAGTGCTTTTGTTTTTTCGAAGAACGATTCGAAAAGTAATGAGAAGTGATTTATCCATAACTTTTTAGTCGGTGATATTTGGGAGAATGTCGATAGTTTTCGATGAGTCACGATGATTATTTCGCATCTACTTAAACATTTTTTTCACACCAACAAAAATATTGTCGTTGTAAGTTGGAGCGTCATCATAAAGTTGAGACACGTGTAAATATCGACGGTTGTATCAAATATTGACGGTTTACGTAGTTATAGCACTTATTCCCAACTTCCACTTAAAGGCACGATTCTCTAAAACTGTTTCATCGTAGAGCCCATTTCAGCATATCGCCTACGTTACGCTTTTAATTTGAATAATCCATAAGCAAATTTGTTAAAGTAGCACTGTCCAGGTCATCAAATGAAATTGCATAAAGCCCGGGAAGTGGCAGATCGCAACGACTGCGTCTTATCATGCTCATAGTAATGAGCTGCTTAACGCCTGATTAGAAACATTCGTCAGTTTGACTCGAAGATAAATAAATTTAAGGAAAAATGCTAATTGTAAAATAAAAAATAATAGTGCAAGAACACAGTTATTTTTTACAATTGATTTCGTTACTTTGGATTGTGTGTTTGTTTTGTCTTTAATCGTTTATTGACTACAGCACAAAGTGCACAAATTGCACAAAGTTTTTGACGATTCAGTGTTTTGTAATTGATAACTTATTCTTTGTCACAAAAAACTTGATAATAACAAATATAGCGTATAATCCGAATAAGCAACTGTGCTGTACGTTTCTCGCGAAACATAAATGGACAGAACCGGAGAGCATTTACAGGTAAAATGCAGTGTGCTACACGTTTTGTGCCACGTCTACTTTCGCATAAATCGTGCGCTGTCTTTCTGCGTTCACAGGTTGTCTATTACGTTTGTCTTTTAAACATTCATTTTCCGATTGAATATCAGTTTCTGTTGTGTTCAATGTTGATAACAATAGGACGCAACAGTAACAAACGTTCACTTGTTAACGGCACTGAGAATTCGGTTAAATTAGTAAAGTAGCAATCTTTGAAATAATAATGTTAAAATTTATATTATGTATAAATTAATCATTTTAATGAAATCAGATGCACTGAACGTACATAATTTATATTGAACTTTGAATTATGGACTGTTGAATTTTGATTATTTAAGTGAAGAAATGAAGAAACTTAACAAGAATAAGATTGATGATTCCGACCGACCAATTTGACGAGTCCAAAATCAAACGATTCATTTCCGTTTACGTGTTCTTATTTGAATTGCAAATCGCCATAATAAACTGCATTTCCAGTGTCTGTATTGACATTCTTCATTCATGTGTCCCATAATGAATCTATAACTTGTTTTCTGTACTGTCTTCATTCATTATCCACTGATAGTATCGATTCATCAATCGTTTGTCGGTCATTTGTTCATAACCGTTGTTCATCGCATTCCTTGATCGTCTACTTTACTGTACTCGTCCAAATTGTGCGAGGTGAATGTTACTGATCCAGGGAATGAATGTACTCCTCAGCTTTCTGAGCAATTTGCGAATAGTTTTCGCTTGCAAATGAATCAGTCGGCCGTAAATCATAGGGATGAGAAATTTGTTCATGTTTTTCACTCAATAAACACATTGCTTTTTGCACGAAATTAATGTGTTTATCGAGCGAAAAACACGTTTTCATTAATTATTTAGGCGGCGGATTTATCAGATATATTCAATGTTGACTACTTAAGTGCTTAGTTCATTTCGTCGAGTTATTGAGGCTGTATCCAGTTATATCATCATCATAATTGCAAAGGTAGATTTTATTTTTTAATGGTAACTTTCAGGCGTTCTCATTAGCAATGGCTGATCAAGCAAAAGTGCATACACCATTGGTTGAAGTGGAACGCATTCCATATGTGGGTAGCAACATGCTCAAGGATCCAGTTTCAGTTGCTGATCCAGAAGCATTCGAAATCATGAAAAATGTTTGTTTTCCTATCTGACATTTATCAATACTGTAATCAAGGACTTGTGTGACCTGTTAAATATCACTCGAAACTGTTAATAAGGGTTGAATTTTCAGGAGAAGAAACGTCAGAAGCGTG